ATGATTGAAGGTACATACAAAGATAAATCCACCCTAGCACTCTGGCTAGCATTTCATTCCAAGAAAAAATAAGTCCAAAGTCATGCAACCTAGGCAAAGCAGGAAATGGTATAAGAGATGGTCAGTCATATAGAAAACTAATAGATGCATATTTGAGTAAAAGAGGTTGAAATTAATTTGTAGGAGACCTTACATGTCATAGAAGTAATTTATAAGTTAAGACTTTATAGGTGATAGGACATACCTGTAGTTGTTTTCAAAATTAGGAAAGAAAATTAATTGGATTGGTGTAGATATCTTGGAGGTAACCATTAGGAAGGAAACCCTTGATGAGAATTTCTCCTAATAGCAATTACATGTCTTTGTTATTAGATAATTAGCACAGTTGCCATAAGTAGACATTTATTCAGTTCTAAATACTTAGCTCCTAAAACAATGTCTGGCACATAGTAAACATTTCATAAATGTTAATAACATGAAGACCATGAAGAAAGGCTTGCTTTTTAAATTTTAATTGACATAATATTTGTACTTATGGGATACCATATTATAATATAACATATCTACAATTTGTAATGATCAAATCCAGATAATTAGCATTTTCATCTCTTCAGATATTATCATTTTTGTGCATTGGGAACCTTCATACCCTTTTCCTATAGTTATTTTGAAATGTGTATTTAATTACTGTGAACTACTGTGCTATAGAACACTATCCCCTGAACTCTATCTGAACTCTATCCCCTGACTCTGTGTTTTGGTACCTATTATCCACTCTCTGTCTCCCTCACTTACCCCTATCCTTCCTACCTTTAGCAACTTCTTTTTCTACTTTCTACTTGTGTAACCAGTTTTTTAAGCTTCCACAAATGAGTGAGAGTATACAGTATTTGCCTAGCCTATTTAACATAACGTCTTAGACTTCCATCAATGTTGCCATGAATTGCAGGATTTCATCCTTTTTGAATAATATTCCACTATAGATACTACCAGATTTTTTTATCCATCTATTTGTTGATTACATTTCTTGGGTATTATGAATGGTGCTTCAATAAAGAAGGGATTGCAAATATCTTTTTTGATACAATGATTTCATTTCCTTTGGACACACACACACACACACAGTGGTGGGATTACTGTTTTCAGTTTTTTTGAGGAACATCTGTACAGTTTTCCATAATGGCTATACTAATTTACATTTCTGCCAATAGTACATAAGATTTCCCCTTTCTCTACAACCTCACCAGCATTTGTTATTTTTTGTCTTTTGATAATAGCCATTTAACTGGAGTGAGGTACAATTTCATTGTGGTTTTCATCTGTATTTCCCTGATGATTAGTGATAAGGAGCATTTCTTCATATACTTCTTGGCCATTTGTATATCTTCTTCTGAGAAATGTCTATTCTAATTATTTATCCATTTTTAAATTAGATCTTTGTGCTGTCAAGTTATTTGGTGAAGGATAGTTTTAATAATCTACCCAGCTTCTTGTCAGAGCCTGAAAACAAATGGGGGGAAAGAAAGTAAAGTAACAAGGAACCCATAACTTAGTGCTGCAGATTTTCTTCAGAAGATTTAACTGAAGTGGAACTGCTTAGAAACAAGACATTCACTTCAGTAAAATGGCCGGGRCAAGTAGGTATATGTATTATATATTTATCTTAAAACTTTTCATAATGTAATATTAAGTCTCATCTGAATGTGCCTTATTTTTTTGGTAGTTACTTTTCAAAGTAATAGTAAATTTCAACAATATTTATGTCTCATCCAAGATGATAATCTTTTTCTACAGATGTTTAGTGACAGATCTGGATATATTTATGACTGTAATTTCTATCATTTTTTCATAGTTTCCCTCTTTTTAAAATTTTTATTTATGTATGCTTTTAGTTAGTAATCGTTTTTCAATTTTTTTTTAATTCTTAAAAGAAAATTATATCTGAGGTTAGTAGAAGTGTTTGTCCTGTGTGACAGTTGGAGGAAAGGATTTATTATGACTTAACCCAAAGCCATGTAGTTAATGCATGTTTAAATTTGCATTTTTAGTTACATGTAGGGAGAATAGCAGAGTGTTTGCAAGGTAGGGTCTGGAGTCAGAACTGAACCTTTCCTGGTACTCCCACGTAATTAGACATTTTGTGTAATTTCTTAATGGTCTCAATCCCCTTATCTTTATCTTTAGACTTAGTTTATCTTATTTTTATATTGTCTTATTTTGGGAGGGTAACCAGGGATTGAACTCAGAGGCACTTGACCACTGAGCCACCCCCAACACTGTTTTGTATTTTATTTAGAGACAGGGTCTCAATGAGTTGCTTAGCACCTTGCTTTTGCTGAGGTTGGCTTTCAACTCTCAATCCTCCGGTCTCAGCCTACCTGAATGGCTGGGATTACAGTCRTGCGCCACCATGCCCGGCCTATATTATCATTTTTTATTGATAGTTTTTTATATTGATTATGTGGTCAAATAATRGTATTTATATATTATTAAAATTAATGTCACCTATTTTAAGTTTTTCGAAATGTGTTTACTATAAAACATTAAACTATGTGTGTGGCTTGCATTATGTTTCTATTGGACAGCTCTGCTCTAGACTACAAATAGCAAACTCTGGCTCCCCAATTCCAACTGTTTTTGGACTGTTTTTGTAAATAGTTGTATTGGAACTTAGTACCATTCACTTCATTTTATATATTGTGTATACTTGCTTTTATGCTACAAAAGTTAGTTGTGTGGTTACTACAAAACCAGATGGTCCCATTAAGCCTAAAATACTATTTGATGCTTTAGAAAATGAATTTGCTGCTCCACTCTAGACTGTACTTGACAAATGTTCACTATGTTATCTTTTGAGTGGTTATAATAGACAGAGATAAAAAGCAGATTAGAGGGTGCCRGGGAAAATAGGAGAGTAGGGAGTGTTAATAATGGTCTAAGAAGATAATGGTAATAGTTATGCTATTTTGAATATAATAAAACAGCTGAATTGGTATTTTTAAAGGGTCAATATTATTGTGTGTGGACAATACCTCAACTTTTAAAAATCCTGGTTTGGTTTATATAATAAAGCAGTATATTAAACATGATACATGTTGATGATAATGAGAACATGCAAAGAAACATGAAAATCAGTTATGAGAACAAAAAAACTTTCAGAAATAGTTTTTTATATACTCCCTTATTACAAATAGTTTTTTTATCACTTTTAAAAGCTTGTGTCACAGTTGTCCATTGGTGTCTGTGGGGTATTTCCAGGAGACCATGCAGATACCAAAATTTGCAGATACCCAAATCTCTTATACTGTAAAATGGCATTATACTTGCTATGTACCTTACACACATTCTCTAATATACTTTAAATGATGTCTAGATTAATTGTAATATTTAATATAATGTAAACACTGTGTAAATAGATTTTTTTTCTTTTTTGTATTAGGGATTGAACCCAGGGGTATTTTATCACTGAGCTCTATCCCCAGTTTTTATTTTGAGACAGAGTCTCATTAAGTTGCTAAGCCTAGCCTCAAACTTGATCCTCCTGCCTCAGCTTCCTAAGACTCTGGGATTATAGGTGTGAGACACCACACCTGGCTTAATTTTTTTTGGGGGGGGGATGGGGCCAGGGGTCAAACCCAAGATTTGTGCATGCTAGGCAAGTGCTGTAACACTGATCCGCATCTCCAGCCTATGAATAGTTTTTCTACTCTAATATTCTGGGAATAGTGACAAGAAAAAAAGGTATACATGTTCAGTACAGGTGCATTTTCCCCGAAGATATGGAGGACTAACTGTATTTTCAAGTTATTTATTGATATGAAAAGTGCTTAGCTGAAATTGCTTATTCATACAAAAGGCTTATCATTTAGATACAATCTCTTATTTAGTTTGAGACTTTAGATAGTCCACAATAATATATATGGCCAATATTAATACATAGCTAAATAAGTGAGTACAAAGTATATATAAAAACTTCAAAGCATGTTAATTCTTTTCTGTAAGTACTTATCTAAGTGTAGAAATCATGGCTTTATGGAATTTTTGGCCAGCTTTTGAGAGGAGACTATAATTTAAYAGAAAGGCCATTCCCAAATGTCCATGTCTTGTATCATGTAGGTATTTTATCTTCATTGAATTGTTAAACATCTATATATAAGTCTTCAGTATTTTCACATTGCTTTGAAGGTAACAAATTATTACTTGTGGCTGGGTATGGTATAATCCCAGTAGCTTGGGAGTCTGAGACATGAGGATTGGGAGTTCAAAGCCAGTCTCAGCAATGGTGAGATGCTAAGCAACTCAGTGAGAGCCTGTCTCTAATAAGATATAAAATAGGGCTGAGGGTGTGGCTTAGTGGTTGAGTGACCCTGAGTTCAATCCCTGGTACCCACTCACCCCCCAAAAAAGAAAGAAACAAAATGTTACTTGCATTATACAGTTGATTAATTTGTTTGTTGTATGTAGGGTTTATCAGCAATGTGCTTTATGCAATCCAAAAACCAATAGTTGTCTCATCATTTTCCTTGTGAACACAGGCAATGGGTTTTAATTTTATTGCCCTGAAAGCGGCATATTACAGCACCTTATTTGTACCATGAGGTAGAATAACATGTCTATGAGCACAGCCTTGAAGCCAGACAGAACTAGTTTCTAATTACAACTTAACTTACTAATTTAATGTGACCCAGTACTGCCTATTAAATATTTAACAAATATTTCTCTAAGTCTCCATTTTCTTATCTTTAAAATGAGATAATGCCTTTTCCAGTGATTTTTTTTAAAAAGCAATAAATAAGAAAATAAGTGCAAAGTACTTAGCACTTAGAAACCACTCAATAAATGGTAACTTCATATTATTGCCAGTTAATATGTTATGTTTTTTAAATCAAACTCATTAAAATTTTTAGTGTCAGCATCATACATTTCATTATGTATTTTACTGACTACTACCTTTTCAAAAACATAACAAAATAATAAGTTACGTTCTATTTTACTTTCAGTCAAAGAAAAATAAGAAGAAATCAAARTCAGATGCTAAAGCAGTGCAAAACAGTTCACGCCATGATGGAAAGGAAGTTGATGAAGGTATTTGAGCAAGGGAAAGCACTGTAGAAATTTTTTTAAATCCTTTTTTTTTTTTAACCAAAGTGTATCATGTAAAAGCTTCATTTGTTTTAGTTAGTCTTGTATCTAGCTCTTCTTTTTTAATTACTATAGTTTTTCAAATTCAGATCTATGACACTGGTAGGAAACATTTTGTTTTCTAAATTATTTGAGAATTCAATAGTGCTTTTCCTAAATGAAACTACCTTGAAATTTAGGTCTACCTTAGTATTTTGAACAAACTGAAAAGCCATTCATCTTGTCTTTGTTTCCTAAAAGTATGGTTTTGGGGATTTCCCCCATTGTTTTTAAATATACCATCCCTGGCAGGGATGTAATTTTGTTTTAAAACATGCATTCTCACCTTTTGCCTTATTTCCTAAGTTCTAGTCCCAAATACTGGTAAAGTTCTTCTTAAGAACTTGATGTGTTTGTTTCTAGGATTGTTGAAATGGCTACTGGTATTTGAGAGGTGGCAAAGTTGAATCCAATATTGAAGGCCAATTCTGCATTCCTACTTAAAATAATCTAGATTACTATTGCAAAATAGCAAACCCTATTTATGCTTGGATAATTTCCTTTATTGGTAAAATTCTTGAATAAGCCATTTATCATCATTACCTAATAAACCCGTTTATTAGTGATTTTATATATATATATATATCATTCCTATCACTTCTACCCAGCAAAATAAAAAGATACATGATGACTTACTTGTATCACTTTTTCTATAGATGACATATTTGATTAAGAAAAATGCTASAATACATAATAATGGATTGTTGACTATAACAATAAGCTTAGCATAAATTCTTAGGATACATTAATAAAATCAACACTCTGGGTTTTTAGTTTAATATATATATTTATCATGATACCTTGTGTGCCCCACCCCATTTTTTCCTCAAAACTACACCTTTTTTTGTTTTCCCCTTACTGAATAACATTTTTTTTCTGGGGCTATGTCAGGAGCCTGGGAAACTAAAATTAGTCACAGAGAGAAACGACAACAGCGTAAACGTGATAAGGTGCTGCCTGATTCTGGTTCATTGGATTCAACTATCCCTGGGATAGAAAATACCATCACAGTTACCACCGATCAACTTACAACTGCATCATTTCCTGTTGGTTCCAAGAAGAATAAAGGTATATTAGTGGAAAATAAGAGTGGTACATCAAATCAAACTCCTTTAAATCAGATTTACAAACTATTATGTCGAAATCTATTTTGAATTGCTAATGTCATTGTGCTGATATACCCTTCTTCATGAGAATATTATGAACCATGTATTGGTTTACCTAATACCATCAGTATTATTTTTTACATATTGCCCAGTGAATGGCTTGTTAAAATTTGCCTTTCTGCCTTGAGTCACATGAGAAAATGATGTTGCTCCTTTTCTTCATATGTATTGCTTTGCCCCAACTCTTGCACCTCATTTCTTACAGTAGATAAAACATTTATTAAATGGAATTATTTATCACCATTATGCATGTTGGGTGCTTTCATTCCAAGATAAAACAGGCATGTTCTGGTTAGTGCAGGTTCTATCTGGATTTCTTATCACCCTAGCTTTTTGAGAGTACCAGAGATGTTTGGTAAAGCAGAACTTGAAAGGTTATTAAGCTTATGATCTTCCAAGTATTTCAGATGTTCAAACTATCAATATTGATGGCTTCTTGGTAGCACTTTACATTGCCATCATTTTACACCAGACACGCCAGTCTGCAAAGTGATACTGTTCAATTTGCTTCAGAACATTGACTTAACTTACTCTTGTCTTTTTGTTAATGACCTCTCATCTTACCATCACTCAGTTGTTTCCAGATCACTTTCTTAGCCTTATTACTCTTTTTTACTTTTTTGCTTGGTAACTTGTTGGAATTTATTGCCCCAATATAGCAGTGACTTAATTCTACTTACTCATTTTCACTATCACATGTTAGCTGTGCTTTAGTAATTCAGTTGGTAGCCCTCACCGTCTTGTACTTGTGCCTTCCTTTCTCACACAATTCCGTTTCATGCTGGATTGTATTTTTGTTTTTGTTTTGATACGTTATGATCATTATGCTTTTTAGTGACAGAGAAATTGTAATTTTGTTTTAAAACTTGCATTCTCACTTTTTGCCTTATTTCCTAAGTTCTAGTCCCAAATACTGGTAAAGTTCTTCTTAAGAACTTGATGTGTTTATTTCTAGGATTGTTGAAAAGGCAACTGGTATTTGAGAGGTGGCAAAGTTGAATCCAATTTTGGAGGCCAATTCTGCATTCCTACTTAAAATAATCTAGATTACTATTGCAAAATAGCAAACCCTATTTATGCTTGGAAAATTTTCTTTATTGGTATTTTAGTTGACTAAGGATATGGTAATTAGAGAATCAGTTACTTATGAACATGTGAAATGTGTTGTAAATTTACTTTTTTCCTGTGTAAGAATCTGGCACTTGAAGAAACAATTTATTATAGATAATAAGTAAAAATTAATTTGTATATTACTCCTAACTTAATGTACACAGTGGCCTTTAGTGTTAAATAAATTTTATTTCTATTTCAACCAGGTGATTCTCATCTAAATGTTCAAGTTAGCAACTTTAAGTCTGGAAAAGGAGATTCTACACTTCAGGGTGAGAGAAATTACATGTAAATTAAATTGAAGGCCCGTCAAAATAGAAACTTATATACATGTCTTTTTTCTTCACACAAGTAATGCAGAAGGAAAATAAAAGGATTTAAAATGATTTTTTAATTAATAAAGTAACATAATCCAGAGATTTTGGAAAATAGATAAAAAGAAAAATTACTCCCACTTCTAACAGCATTTGGTATGTTTTAGCTTTCTGCCGTCCCCATACATAGAAACATTCTTTTAGTAATCATTTAGATGCAATTTTGTTTCTTGCTTGCATTGCTTAAACCAGTAGAGAAGGATTTTTGTTGAATGTGAATATAATATAGTCATGTGAAATAAAAACTTTACCTCATATATTAAGTAAAAAAGCCTTAGTTATTATTTTTAACTACCTCTTTGATAGTATCTAATATATCACAGTAAATGGACTGTAAGGTACGCAGAATATCACAAACATAAAATACAATTATTCACTCATTTATGGTGATGATTGGATTAAGTAGAGCGATACATGATGTGAAACAAAAGTTATAATAAAACATAAATTCGTAAGTGAAAAAAGCACCTTTTTCATTTTAGGCTTGTTCTTAATCACTGTCACCTTCCTTCATGCCCATGAGTCTCAATCTTGGCTACATATTACAGTCATCTAGGAAGCTTTAAAAAAAAAGTACACATACTTTCATGTACATAAAAAGAAACATGTCCTTATATATTCACAATCGCCTGTGTGTGTTTCCATGCATACTTAAAATACCTGGGCCTCACCCCAAGACATTCTGATTTTTAATTTGTCTGGGCTGAAGCTCCAAAGCCTATTTTTAAGAAAAATATTAGTTGATTTTAATGTGAAGCCAGGGTTTTTAGAATTGCTGCCTATACATAATGTATAGAATAGTTTAAGGAAATAATATCTAACTAGGGAGAAGTCTTCATATGAGTTGGGTGAGTATTTTGAGTATACTAGAATATATGTCATTTTCCTGTTCACTTTGTTGTACTTCCTTTGAGGCAGTAATTCTGCCATTGAAAGAGGTGTGTGGTGACTATGTCACTTTATAATTGATTTTTATCTTTAAAACTCAAGCTTTAAAGGAAGAAACAAAGGAATGGTCATTATAAGCCAAACAATTGTAGAAATTTGAAAATACTTATTTTTAAACAAGAAGTTGCATACTTATTTTTAATCTTTATTTCTTTTCTTTAAGTTTCTTCAGGATTGAATGAAAACCTTACTGTCAATGGAGGAGGCTGGAATGAAAAGTCTGTAAAACACTCCTCACAGATCAGTGCAGGTGAGGAGAAGTGGAACTCAGTTCCACCTGCTTCTGCAGGCAAGAGGAAAACAGAGCCATCTGCTTGGACTCAAGACACTGGTGATGCTAATGCAAATGGAAAAGACTGGGGAAGGAGCTGGAGTGACCGTTCAATATTTTCTGGCATTGGTAAGAACCATTAGAAAAATGTATGTTCATTTAAAATTGCTAACCTGGTATATTTTGAATTTTTCAGAAGAGAGGAAAAAGTCTGTCTATAGATACATTAGTCCTTCTAAACAGAAATGATAGAAATAATTAATTCATCTCAGATCATCTGCATGAAGCAAAGTGGGAACTAAAGTGAATACAGCATTTATTATTTACTCGTTACATAGTGCTTTCAGAAATATTATCATATTTGGTTATCAATGTAGATAACTGGTATGTTTGTGATTTGGTAAATATAATGTGTAAGCAAACTTAATTTCAGTAGTTCTATTGAGTCTTGGTGAAAATAGTAAGTGGAAGTACAGCATACAGCATCCATTTTTGAGTATTTTATAATCTGAAGAATGCCTGTTTATAAATTTTTCCCTAGATTTCTTTGATAAAGACTAGTAGTTTGAGAAATTTATTTCTGTAAGAGCCATTAAATTAAAAACAACTTAATTTTTAGGTGTGTATTTGTAGTATAAAAAAGAAATCCATGTTAAATATGGAAAACAGTATAAAGATAAAGGGAAAAGTTCACTATTGTCTTACCACCCAGTGACAACCACTGTTACTTTTTTGCTTTTTTGTTTGTTTGTTTTTGTTTTAATTTTTTAAGGATTATTCCTGCCAGTGTATAATTTTTCTTTTTTTGATATGACTTGACTCAAACGAGCATTGTTATGTTCCTTTTGCCCTCATCTCACCATTGTAACAAACATTTCCCTTATTACTCTTTGTATTTTTCTTTAATGACCCTATGGTGTATTATGTAGAAAGCATACCATAGTTAACTATTCCCATATTATTGGAAAAATAATTTTTCTTTTCTTTTTTAAACTGTTTTATATGATTTTACATTGAATATGTTTGATTTAGGGTCATTTCTTTAGTATAGATTTCTGGGAATGATTGGGGCTCAAGGGAATATGAATGTTTATAATRCCACATTATATGTTAGCAAAGTATTTTCTCAGAGTTTTTCTCCTTATACTTTCAGCATCAGTATATGTGCCCATTTATTATATACTTACCAAGGTTGAGGGTTTTTTTTTAATTTTTAAATTTTATTTAATAAGCAAAAATACATAAATGGTTTTTGTAACGTTTTTTAAATTACTAGTGAAGTTGACTTTTTGCTCATACTTTCTTGATCATTTCTATTTCYATTTTTTGTGTGTGTGTGAATTATGTTTGTGTTCTCTGCCATTTGTCTAATGGCCTCTTAGTGTTTTATTTTTTTGAATTATTTCTTGTGCATTAAATATACTTTTTTCCCCCCTATTGTTCTTATGGCAGGCATTTTAATACTTTTGTTTCTTTTAATCTGGGGAGCTATAGACACTAGAAAGTTTTTAGTTTGTAAGTGGAGAAAAATTTCTTCTTTTTCTATTAGTTTTCCCACCACTTTTTTCAAAACAAACTCATAGATCATTTACTAATATTGTTCTTATGCTTGCTTTCCTCTCCTTCCCTGCCATGTCATAAAACTGTAGAAATATCAAAATTAGTTTGAAGAAGACATTCTGTAAATTCCTACCCGTTAGCACAAATCTCTGTGCTAAAAGCATCCTTTCATATTTAATAAAAATAAATCGTCAGGTTTTATGATGTAATGTTGGGAACTGTGACCTTTTCTGATATGCAATTTATGTTTTAATTATAATTAGGACAGAGTTTAAATGTTAGTCCTTCCTTAGAGATGCTACAGATAAAATAAAGCAGTAAATTAGAGTTCCTCCCTTGTTGGATTCAGACTTGTTGAAATTGAAAAGGAACTGTATTAAATTAGGTTTGCAGTAGATCACTAAAAGGAAACAGATGTGACTGATCACATGGAGATATATGCTCCTTAAAATATGGTCAAATATCACATAACAATGGGGACACATTCAAAAGATGCATTCTTAGATTATTTCATAATCATGTGAACATCATAGCGTACTTAAATTAAGATGGCTATGATGTCACTACGTGATACTGTCTTATGGGAACACATGGTCTGCAGTTGATGAAAGTATCATTTTTGTGGTACATGACTATACCCATGTATGAGGAAGAAATGTCTTTAAATTATTGATTAGATAGCATGGTATAGTAACATGGGACTGTCTGGTCACATGTATTAGGTGTGAAATAACCACTCTAGCTTTTATGTACATTAGATTAGTTATTTCACCTATATGGGACCTCATGTTATACTTGTGAGGATTGATTATAATGAATATCATATACCAAGTTCTGTATGTGACCCAGGTAGTTGCTTAATTATGATAGATAATAAAATAGTTCGATATAATGGAAAGAGCATAAGCTTTGGAAATTAAGTTCCAGTCGTAGCTCAGTTGTTTTCTGTCAGCAAATTATTTAACTGCCTAGAGTGTTTACCAGAAGGATTAGAAATGGCTGGTGGAATGGGGCTCAGCCATAGACAGATGTAAATAGTAGCTATTGCTGTATTATTGGTTGTGATTTCTACAGTTATCTTTAAATATTGTTATCATAGTTTTAAATCTGTACATATCTTTCAAGTTTCTTTGCAAATTGAAGGTTCCAAGTGACGTTCTTTATTTTAACAGCTGCTTGGTCTAGTGTGGATAGGGGAATGAATACCTCTGAACAGAATTCTGCTTCTTTTGCATCTCTCACACTTAACTCTGCTGTTTCTGGTATGTGAAAACAGTCTTTCATTTAGTTAACAACAACAACAACAAATTCTGTTTAAATAAATTTTAGCACTTGTTATTTAAAAAAAATAATCAGCATCAACATAATGCTATCAACATTAAAAAATAGATAAATAGAATGTCAGAGATCTTTAAAAGGGTGTGGGGTTGGGGAGAGAAAAACCTAAATCCTTTTATGTGCTAGTGGCTTAGCTCCTTTCTGCAGGGGAATAAGGAAGATTCTGTGGCCAGACAGCACTGACAATGTGTTAATGCACAGACACATACTCTAGAAGGCCTTCCTTTAGGTTAGGATTTTCAGTTTCTACTCTATTTCTACTATACTTGTGGTTGCATATTGGCTCTTTTTGGTTTTGTTTCTGTTCCCTTATCTTGAATGGGTAGGGAAACCTTTCAGATTAGGCAGACCCCATCTTAATAATTTTACTTTGAGTATCTATTGTTTTAGAATGTATACTATTTTAAAAACTATTGATTGATCATAACTTAAGTGGATATGYCTTTTAGTAATTACCTAGAAGCTACACACATTTAACAGATATTACATATTGGCTAAATTATGTGAAAGTATTAAAATTTTTAAAAAACAGGAGCTGGGGTTGTGGCTCAGTGGCAGAGCACTTGCCTGGCATGTGTGAAGCACTGAGTTCGATCCTCAGCACTATATATTAATATTTATATATATATATATATATATATAGATACATCAACAACTAAGATATAATTTAAAAAATTTTTTTAAACAAATATTACATAAATGTGGGAGACACTCTTTGCAGTGCTCGATACACATCAGAATTCATGGACCCAGTTTACTAATTGTGTAGTTCCACAATGTCTAGAATCAGTAGCCTAGAATAAGGGTCAGCAAACTTTTTATATAATGGAATAAATAGTAAATAWTTTAGGCTTTATGAGCTATAGTTTTTTTTGTTGTTGTTGTTTTTTGTTGCAGCTACTTAAGTCTGCCATGGTAACAGTAAAGCCGCCAGAAACAATAYGTAAACAAATAATTGTGTCTGGTTCCAAAATAATATTCTTTATGTATGTTTTTTTCAACCATGTAAAAATATAAAAAGTATTTTTGACTCATGGACCTTGTGAAAATAAGATGGATGAATTGGCCCATGGGTCTCAAACTGCCAAACCTTGATCTCATATAGACCACCTTGTAGATCTTTAGGTGCAAGTTAATTGTTTCCCTCATTTGATGACTYTATACAACACGGTTAAAGAAAGAAGCATGAGCTCTTAAAGTAAAAGCACCAGGATTACAGTAGTGCTTCTTAGTATCCAATGTGCTAAATATATACTATGGTTACTTAGAGTTAAATTTATAAATAGTTATAAAAATATAACTTTTGAGTATGTATCAAGCAGTTGTCATGTTAGTGGAATGCTAGTAAGATTATCTGTAACCAAGTGAAAAGTTATAAATTAGGACTCTGAGGGGAGGAAATGATTGTATAGTCTTTTATACTATTAGAAATCTCTCCTTTTTAACCATTTCTTTGTGATACTGGCTCTGAATCTAAAGTGAATCTATTTGTATCTACATACATGCTTATATACATGGTAGAGAACCACTGTTAACATTACAAAATGAATTTGTAGCCGTAGAATAAGGAATTTGACCTGGCATCTGTAAACTTATATGCCCCCAAAATTAGATGTACAATTTTGTGTTAAGTTCTAAATGTTAGACTACCACAGCCCTCTCATTGAGTTCCARAAGTACTCTGTGACATGGTACTGTCATCCCACCTATTCCTTCCCCATTCCCCATAAAACAACAGAAGAACGAGACAAAATTTAAAATATTCTGTTCTTTTAAAGGCACCTAAACTTAACTCTCCAAACCTTCAACAATCCTCTTGTCTCTTTGGCTTTTCTCTGTCTCACCTTTCTAGATCATCTATTTCTTTTAACTTTCTTTTGGCCAGAAAGTTGTAGCTAACTCAAGACGTTTTCTAGTTCTGCTTTTCAGGGTTCTAAGGATATAGGTAAACCCTGAAACATCTAAGGCCAAAATCATCAATAACCAGAGATTTTCTTTGAGTTTTATTACTTTTCATTAAGAAGAAAAATAAAACAACTTTCTTTTGAGTTCTTTAAATTTGTAGGTAACTAGTTGGAAGGATCTATTACAAAAAAATGAAATCTAATGGATTGGAATTATAGGGAAAGTGTGTCTGATCAATTAAATTAGATTTAATGATTATCATATTTAATTTAAAATACCCTTAGTACTACTTTTTCTTTTAATTTAACTCTTTTTCTAATGTCTGAATTTTTCCTTTTAGGAGAAACAAAAAAGTAAAGTCTCCATGTGCAAAATAGAACTATTGTTATGAAACATCATTAGGAAATTCCATTTTTTAATTTTATTGCATTCGTTTTTCATTTAAGGGTCTACTGCTGAGCCAATTTCTCAGTCTACCACTTCTGATTATCAGTGGGATGTTAGCCGTAATCAACCCTATATCGATGATGAATGGTCTGGGTTAAGTATGTCCTTTTAAAAATTATCAGTTTTTGTTTTGTTTTGTTTTGTTAGAATTTTCTTTATAGCACCCTGAATTCATGCTTTATTATTTAATTTAAATTTTCTCATCTTTAAAGGTCATATTAATATAGTTCAATATCAAATGTATTACTTGAAAGCTGCTTATTGAATGCATGTAGTTAAAAAACTGAGTTTTCATAATGATTGAGGCAGTAATTTAAAGTTTTTTTGTAGTTGCTTAATAGTATTTCTAGTTTAGAATTTTTGTTTTAAATAAATTTTCTGTTTCTTCTAATTATAAGAGGGAATAGAATATACAGGAATGGCTTTGAATTTGTGAAGTGTACACATTTTTGTGCTGGTAGAAAAACACTTTCTTAGCATAATTTCCAGTAGGAACATGGGGAAGGCTAAAGAAAGGTAAAAATCATTTTTAAAAGATGGGGAGAAACCAGGTGCAGTGCCATATACCTTTAATTCCACCTGTTCCAGGAGGCAAGTTGAGACAAGTTTAGGGCCAGCCTGGGTAACTTAGTGAAATCCTTTCTCAAARAAACAACAAAGGGGATAAAAATTAGAAGGGAAAGAGGATWCAGTCTTCATACTCAGAAAGCCCATACCATTTTCATTTAAAAATAAAAGTATCTGATATTATTTTTGCTTCATAATCCCAAATTGCAGRACTTGACTCCTTTTTCTGAATTTTTATATCACTTTCCTTTTTACTTTTTTTTTTTTGTAAGCAATTATATTCTACCCTGTGGGATTTTCTACCATTTTTGTCATTTTTTTTTTAAGTACAATGTTTACATTTTTGTTTATCAGTTAAAAAATTAATTTGAAAATTGGAMAGAGTTGCTGGGCACTGTGGTGCATGACTATAGTCCCAGCAGTTTAGGAGATTTAGGCAAGAGCACTGCAAGTTCGAGGCCAGCCTCAACAATTAGCAGGGCCCTGGATGTGTCTCAGGTTCTGAGTGACCCTGAATTTAATTCTCAGTACTAAAAAAAAAAGAGTTAAGTCTCTMATGAAGTAATATAAGTAAAATATATTTTCTTTGGCATGTTAAAAAAATATATTTTTTGTTTTGTTTTCCAAGAAGGATTGAAACCTTCTGAAGGAGGGTTTTATATACTTTTATATACTCAGTACCTATTATAGTATGGTATACATAGGTATTTTAGTACTATTGATAATGATGATAAAAGAAAACACTGAACTATGTACCAAGCACTAGTCTAAGTCTTATTAACTTATTTAATRCTTTTAATAATTCTATAAAGAAAGATTCTTTCCCCCTCTACTTTCTGGTTCAAGAAACTGAGGCAAAGAAAAGTTATCTAACTTTTACCAGGATAGCTAGCTAGTTAAATGGCAGAGGGTAGTATGCAAAGTTGTTAGTCTTGGAGATGACAGTAATCAGAAGTAAGTTTGCAACACAGTAGTTGAAGCACAACAATTACAGATTAGGGCAGAAGAAGTTGAAAAAGTAGACAAGGGAGGGCCATATTTTGAAACGACTTGATTTGCCTATGAAAATTAGGGAACTGGGGGTTGGAGTACTAGTTTAAATGGTAGAGCTGAATTTTAGTCCTGACTTTAAAATATAGTAATCACTTTTTCTGGTATTGAAGCAATTATATTTTTCTTAAAAAGTTGTTTGCCTAGCCACTTCTGTTTAATTTCTAAGATAAATGTAATATAGTACAGTTAGTTTCTCATATGGCTTGCTTGGGCTTTGTAACTTATCTTGGAATCTAGGTTAATTAAGCTATAAAATGGAGCAAATAAAGTCTCATCTGATTTTAAGATATTATAAAAATGTGAAAGCACTTGTTTGGGGAAAAATAGYCTTATCTGTGCTTTAGGAAGAATTTTCAGCTATTTGCAGAACAGAATTAAGGAGTGACTATAGGAAAATGGCAGTAAGCCATCTTGAGGTGCTGAGGTTGACACTGAGGAAAATTGAGCAAACAGGGTTCCAGGCTTCCCTGCTGCAGACTAGCTTCACTTTTATCTTATCTCTATTAGGAGTCTTCAAATATGAAAAAAAACGTAATTGACTGCTAAAATGAAAGATTTTTAAAAACATGTATCACAGCAATTTTGTACTTGAGGAAGATGGTGTTCTTCAAGTTTGTAGTAGTCTTTTAAATCCAAAATTTTTCTTTAACCTCATTTTCTCTGAATTTTATTTTTTTTGTGTGTCAGTATCTTTAGTGTGGTGTTTTGGTTTTTTTTTTTTTTTTTTTTTTTTAATACCCAGTGGATTTGTTATTTCAGAATTTATACAATGTGATTTAGTAATTTGAGATTAATCCACAATCCACAAAGCGAATGTTTTCTAGGATTTTGTTTTTGGTGACACAAAGCACAGGAGTAAATGAATTAGCTGTATCATATTGAGGTGGTTAAGGTTTGGAAACATACTACCTAGGTTCAAATCCTAGGTTTCTTGCCATTGCTCTTAGACAGGTTGCATGATCATTCTAAAATGCCCTGGTTTCCTCATCTGTTCAGACAGTCATTCCCCCCCTCAGTGTTGTTGGGGGTTAAATAGATTAGTACATATAAAGCACTTAGAATACTACTTCATACATAGTCAGTATTCAATCAGTGTTGCTGTTCCTGTTGATATTCTGGTGATAAAATTAGTAGTTCACTTATGGGGATTAATCAATATTTCTGTTAAAACACTGGAGAATGTTTTTCAAATTGTTTTCATAATTGTTTTACTAAAGTTGTTAAAGTTAATGTTGAATTAAGTTCTAGCAAAAATAGCTGGCAACCAAATAGAAACTGGCAAAGAGAAACTAATGTATTAGTCTACAAATTAARTGGAGAAACAAACGTGTCTCTTTTTAAAAAAGATATTGGAAGACTCCTGGAAGAATTTTGAGATGAGAAATAGAATAATTTCTATCAATCATTTTCAAGGAAACTATGTCCAAAAAGTTTATTAGCTACTATTAGGCCCAGGAATAATAAAAATTTTACCAAGTTTCCTGGTAATAATTTTTAGGTTTAGGTGATTGAGCTATTGTTTTAAAGTAGTTTTATTTGATCCCAGTAAAGAAAAAACAATCTAGGATTATGTTATGTTTCTGTGAATAATCTTATATGGAAGTCATTCCATGGGCTACAGTTGTTACCCAGACTTCATGTCTACCTGCTACAGTCGTTATCCAAACTTCATGTCTACCTAAGCATTTTTAAAAAATACTTTTCATGCCGGGCATAGTGGCGCACATCTGTATTCCCAGCAGCTTGGGATGCTGAGACAGGAGAATGGAGAGTTCAAAGTCACCCTCAGCAATTGTGAAGCACTAAGCAACTCAGTGAGCCTCTGTCTCTAAATAAAATACAAAATAGGGCTGTAGATGTGGCTCAGTAGTTGAGTGCCCCAAGTTCAATCCCAACAGTACAAAAAAAAAAACAAAAACTTTTCCCTAAGTACTATAATAGATGTTTATCCCTCACCCCATCCCCCTACAATATTTATCAAGAAAGTAGGTCATATATTAGTATATGATTCATTCAACKTTTTAAACTTTTTTATACTTGATTATTTCTTTTCTGGCAATCAGTCTTAGAGGTAAGGCTAATAGACAACAATTTTCTGAATCTGGGTTTCTAATCTATGAAGTTTAATTGTTTGGTTCAAGTAAATCCATTGGCAGCTCTGAATCTCTGAACACTATGGTTAACGAATGTTTGRGTAATATGGGCAATTAGTTCTTGACATCTACTAGATCCCGTTATGCTTATAAAAATTGTTCTACATTTAAGATATTGCCAGGTGTGGTGGTGCATACTTGTAATTCCAGCAACTTGGGAGGCTGAGGCAGGAGGATTGTCAAGTTTGAGGATAGCCTCAACAACTCGGGAAGACCCTGTCTCAAAATTTTAAAAAATAAAAAGGGCTGGGCTGGGGAAGTGGCTCAAGTGGTAGCGYGCTCGCCTGGCATGCGTGCAGCCYGGGTTCGATCYTCAGCACCACATACAAGCAAAGATGTTGTGTCCACTGAAAACTAAAACAAAATAAATATTACTTCAAAAGTTGAAATAAAAGAGCAAGACTCTTAAAAAATAAAAATTAAAAAAAATAAAAAGGGCTGGGAGTGTAGCTCAGTGGTAAAAACCCTGGGTTCAATCCCCAGTACCCCTTTCCCCCAAAAAAAGACACATCAAGTATATTTTACTAAGATATTAGGATTGTGAGACATCAAGTCTTAATTATATATACTGATAGCTTAGAAATGGCTTTAATGTCATCGGTGATAATAAAAACAATAGCTACCATTTATTGAGCACTTACTGCATTGTTGTGAACTGCCTTACATGTATCTTATATAATCCTATCAGTACTCCTTGAAATTGATTTATAGCCCATTATGATTAAAAAAACTTGAACAAAATCATATTGTTATTAAGTGGTAAAAAAGTATTCAAATGTAGATCTGCTTGACTATAAGACCCATGGTCTTGAGCTGGGGTTATAGCTCAGTGACAGAGCGCTCGCCTGGCATGTGCGAGGCCCTGGGTTTGATCCTCGGCACCACATAAAAATAAATAAATAAATAAAGGTATTGTGTCCAACTACAACTAAAAAAAAGGGAAAAGAAAAAAGAAAACTCAGGTTCTTAACCTCTATGTTAATACTATGTAGTACTGACTCTTATGTTAATGAATTTAGAAATATAGGAAGAAACTTCCTTTTTTGTTTACATTTCACACTTTTTTATGTTTTTCCTCCACTAGACTATAAATTTTGCTTGAATCTCTGTCTCTTCCTATCCTATACGGGATTTGCTTCCCTTCTCTGTTTCCATAGCCCCCTAATGGTTCTATTGCTCTGTTCTTAATTGTCTATTATGCTTACATTTGTCTGTTATGCTCCATCCCTGAATAGACAGACTGTGCCCTACATGTGGACAGGGATTTCTCTCTCACTCATTTTTGTGTCTCTCGAACTTCCAATTATGGTACATAGTAAGTGCTTAATGAGAGTTGAATTAGATGTAATTCCACTATTAATATATATTTATTATTGTGTTTTTCTTCTGCCTCTTCCTCACACAAATTTTGGGATCATATTGAGCAATCAGTTTTGTCTATCTTTTTTTGTTTTTCTGTGAGCACTTTCTCAGATTATTATATGGTCTTTCAAAGCATATCTGTTTTTCAACAAAAATATTTAATAGAATTCATCTAGAAAAGTAAGAATAGCAAAATAAAAGTAACATAAGCACATTTGTCCTTCCAGATGCTAAAATGTATAACAAAGTTATGTATGGCCGTATTCTAGGAATGGGTCAGTGAAATAGAAATTTCAGGAACAGACCCAAGTGCATATGAAAGAAACTAGTACTTGATAAAAAGAAGTGGGAAAGGCTTGAATTTTTTAAATTTAAGCAATRTTAGGACAACTTATTGACCATTTGTAATTAAAGTCTGTTATTCTATCTTAAAACCTGACTGTAAGTACATATTACAGGAATGTATATGAGAATATAATGGTGTGCAGAGAAAGGAGGAAAAATTTATCTTTGAGAACTACTTATTAGTTTCAGGGAAAAATTAAAGAATGGTTTCCCCTTTTACAATAAGCCAGTGAACTTCCTAAAGAAAGTAAAACTGAGCCCTGGGCTGTAATTCAGTGGTAGAGCCCTTGTCTAGAATGCCGGAAGTCCTGGGTTCAATCACCAGCACTGCAAAATAAATATAGTAAAATTCCAGCTGTGTGCAGTAGCACATACCTGTAGTCCCAACTACTCAGGAGTATGGGACAAGAAGGATCTTGAGTTCAGTGTAGGTCTGGGCAACTTAGCAAAACCATCTCTCAAAATGAAAGAGTTATGGGTGTAACTCTGTTGTAGACCCTGGGTTCAGTTCCCAGTTGTTCCCAACATATACACACACACACACACAGCAAAAATTTGGTGCCACCTAGAGTGAAAAAAAAGAATTTAGAAATCTAGAATAAAAATAACTTGCGAGACTAGGATGATTAAAGCCCTGAAAGTGGCTCAAACATCTATGTGAATCATCAGGTTAGGAAGCATTGAATAATCTGTAAAGTACACAGATTACCAAGTATTAAAAGAGAAGAAGGCTGGGGCATGGTGGCGAATGCCTATAATTCCAGCGGCTCGGGAGATGAGGCAAGAGAATCACAAGTTCAAAGCCAGCCTCAGCAATGGTGAGGCTAAGTAACTCAGTGAGACTCTGTCTCTAAATAAAATACAAAATAGGACTGGAGATGTAGCTCGGTGGTCGAGTGCCCCTGAGTTCAATCCCCAGTACCAAAAAAAAAGAGAAGTACATAACTTGGTGATTTGGAGAACGTCGTCTTGAAAGGTACACAAGAATGGGGAGGTATAATTTTTATACTGGTGTTAAAAGTTAATTCTGTACCATAAAAAATAAATCAGTTAAAAAATATATGATTATCAGAGCAAAAAATCCAACCAAATCCTAGACTGAGATAAAGATAGGAGAAAGTACAAATTCAGCAGACTGATAAAGGAAGTAAGGAAGATAAAATTAAATGGTTAATAAGTTTTCTGTACTATCTTAGAAATACCACTTAACCATATACCTAGCAAAATTTGGATAAAGTGTGTTGCCATTATGCTACTATTTTTTCTAGCTCTTAAAATGTGCTTGAGGAAAAAGAAGAACAATAATTTAAAACTACAGTTTAGTTCAACATAAGGAATTTTTAGTTTTTTCATTTTAGTTTATGGCAGAAATGATAGCTAATTTACACTGTTAATTTTAGATGGTCTGTCTTCTGCTGATCCCAGTTCTGATTGGAATGCACCAGCAGAAGAGTGGGGGAACTGGGTAGATGAAAGAGCTTCACTTCTGAAGTCCCAGGAACCAATTCCTGATGATCAAAAGGTGAGTATGAGGGATAAGTGGGTGTTTGTTAATGAAAGAGACTAAGGGTAGAGAGTTCTGGGTTACAGAGGCTCAGGCAGTTGAAAGTATCAAGGAGGCAGTGCTGGGTATGGAAGTATATGCCTATAATCCCATGAATCAAGAGGCTGAGACAGGAGGATCACRGGTTCAAAACCAGCCTTAGCAAATTAGTAAAGCCCTATCTCAAAATAAAATGATTTGGGCCAGGCACAGTGGTGCACACCTATATATAATTCCATCCAGCTCCTCGGAGGCTGAGGCAGGAGGATCNAAAAAAGACACATCAAGTATATTTTACTAAGATATTAGGATTGTGAGACATCAAGTCTTAATTATATATACTGATAGCTTAGAAATGGCTTTAATGTCATCGGTGATAATAAAAACAATAGCTACCATTTATTGAGCACTTACTGCATTGTTGTGAACTGCCTTACATGTATCTTATATAATCCTATCAGTACTCCTTGAAATTGATTTATAGCCCATTATGATTAAAAAAACTTGAACAAAATCATATTGTTATTAAGTGGTAAAAAAAGTATTCAAATGTAGATCTGCTTGACTATAAGACCCATGGTCTTGAGCTGGGGTTATAGCTCAGTGACAGAGCGCTCGCCTGGCATGTGCGAGGCCCTGGGTTTGATCCTCGGCACCACATAAAAATAAATAAATAAATAAAGGTATTGTGTCCAACTACAACTAAAAAAAAGGGAAAAGAAAAAAGAAAACTCAGGTTCTTAACCTCTATGTTAATACTATGTAGTACTGACTCTTATGTTAATGAATTTAGAAATATAGGAAGAAACTTCCTTTTTTGTTTACATTTCACACTTTTTTATGTTTTTCCTCCACTAGACTATAAATTTTGCTTGAATCTCTGTCTCTTCCTATCCTATACGGGATTTGCTTCCCTTCTCTGTTTCCATAGCCCCCTAATGGTTCTATTGCTCTGTTCTTAATTGTCTATTATGCTTACATTTGTCTGTTATGCTCCATCCCTGAATAGACAGACTGTGCCCTACATGTGGACAGGGATTTCTCTCTCACTCATTTTTGTGTCTCTCGAACTTCCAATTATGGTACATAGTAAGTGCTTAATGAGAGTTGAATTAGATGTAATTCCACTATTAATATATATTTATTATTGTGTTTTTCTTCTGCCTCTTCCTCACACAAATTTTGGGATCATATTGAGCAATCAGTTTTGTCTATCTTTTTTTGTTTTTCTGTGAGCACTTTCTCAGATTATTATATGGTCTTTCAAAGCATATCTGTTTTTCAACAAAAATATTTAATAGAATTCATCTAGAAAAGTAAGAATAGCAAAATAAAAGTAACATAAGCACATTTGTCCTTCCAGATGCTAAAATGTATAACAAAGTTATGTATGGCCGTATTCTAGGAATGGGTCAGTGAAATAGAAATTTCAGGAACAGACCCAAGTGCATATGAAAGAAACTAGTACTTGATAAAAAGAAGTGGGAAAGGCTTGAATTTTTTAAATTTAAGCAATRTTAGGACAACTTATTGACCATTTGTAATTAAAGTCTGTTATTCTATCTTAAAACCTGACTGTAAGTACATATTACAGGAATGTATATGAGAATATAATGGTGTGCAGAGAAAGGAGGAAAAATTTATCTTTGAGAACTACTTATTAGTTTCAGGGAAAAATTAAAGAATGGTTTCCCCTTTTACAATAAGCCAGTGAACTTCCTAAAGAAAGTAAAACTGAGCCCTGGGCTGTAATTCAGTGGTAGAGCCCTTGTCTAGAATGCCGGAAGTCCTGGGTTCAATCACCAGCACTGCAAAATAAATATAGTAAAATTCCAGCTGTGTGCAGTAGCACATACCTGTAGTCCCAACTACTCAGGAGTATGGGACAAGAAGGATCTTGAGTTCAGTGTAGGTCTGGGCAACTTAGCAAAACCATCTCTCAAAATGAAAGAGTTATGGGTGTAACTCTGTTGTAGACCCTGGGTTCAGTTCCCAGTTGTTCCCAACATATACACACACACACACACAGCAAAAATTTGGTGCCACCTAGAGTGAAAAAAAAGAATTTAGAAATCTAGAATAAAAATAACTTGCGAGACTAGGATGATTAAAGCCCTGAAAGTGGCTCAAACATCTATGTGAATCATCAGGTTAGGAAGCATTGAATAATCTGTAAAGTACACAGATTACCAAGTATTAAAAGAGAAGAAGGCTGGGGCATGGTGGCGAATGCCTATAATTCCAGCGGCTCGGGAGATGAGGCAAGAGAATCACAAGTTCAAAGCCAGCCTCAGCAATGGTGAGGCTAAGTAACTCAGTGAGACTCTGTCTCTAAATAAAATACAAAATAGGACTGGAGATGTAGCTCGGTGGTCGAGTGCCCCTGAGTTCAATCCCCAGTACCAAAAAAAAAGAGAAGTACATAACTTGGTGATTTGGAGAACGTCGTCTTGAAAGGTACACAAGAATGGGGAGGTATAATTTTTATACTGGTGTTAAAAGTTAATTCTGTACCATAAAAAATAAATCAGTTAAAAAATATATGATTATCAGAGCAAAAAATCCAACCAAATCCTAGACTGAGATAAAGATAGGAGAAAGTACAAATTCAGCAGACTGATAAAGGAAGTAAGGAAGATAAAATTAAATGGTTAATAAGTTTTCTGTACTATCTTAGAAATACCACTTAACCATATACCTAGCAAAATTTGGATAAAGTGTGTTGCCATTATGCTACTATTTTTTCTAGCTCTTAAAATGTGCTTGAGGAAAAAGAAGAACAATAATTTAAAACTACAGTTTAGTTCAACATAAGGAATTTTTAGTTTTTTCATTTTAGTTTATGGCAGAAATGATAGCTAATTTACACTGTTAATTTTAGATGGTCTGTCTTCTGCTGATCCCAGTTCTGATTGGAATGCACCAGCAGAAGAGTGGGGGAACTGGGTAGATGAAAGAGCTTCACTTCTGAAGTCCCAGGAACCAATTCCTGATGATCAAAAGGTGAGTATGAGGGATAAGTGGGTGTTTGTTAATGAAAGAGACTAAGGGTAGAGAGTTCTGGGTTACAGAGGCTCAGGCAGTTGAAAGTATCAAGGAGGCAGTGCTGGGTATGGAAGTATATGCCTATAATCCCATGAATCAAGAGGCTGAGACAGGAGGATCACRGGTTCAAAACCAGCCTTAGCAAATTAGTAAAGCCCTATCTCAAAATAAAATGATTTGGGCCAGGCACAGTGGTGCACACCTATATATAATTCCATCCAGCGCCTCGGAGGCTGAGGCAGGAGGATCGCGAGTTCAAAGCCAGTCTCAGTGAAAAATAAGATGCCAAGCAACTCAGTGAGACCCTGTCTTTAAATAAAATACAAAATAGAGCTAGGGATGTGGCTTAGTGGTTGAGTGCCCCTGAGTTTAATCCCTGGTACCAAAAAAATAAAAAAAGGGATTGGGAGTTATGGCTCAGTGGTTAAACACCCTAATCTCCAGTACCAAAAAAAAAAAAAAGAGAGAGAGAGAGACAGACAGAAATAGCAAGTAGCAGGTAACATTAGGACTTAAAAATGACTGGATTTCCTTCCTGGTAATTTAGAGCAAAGTCATTACAAGTCTTGGAATAGTAGATTAGAGTGTAATGCACTGGTATTTAGCATGCATGAAACCCTGGATTCAGTCCCACGACCCCCCCCCCAAAAAAAAAAAAAAGAGAGAAAATAAATCTTGAAATAGAAGCCATATTTTAGAATATGAAATGATTAAAGGATAKAAAGTAGTACGAACAATTTTTTTTAAATAGGTGTGGAGCCCAGCACAGTTGTGCACACCTGTAATCCCAGTGGCTCCGGAGCCTGAGGCAGGAGGATCATGAGTTGAGGTCCTGAGCAACTCGGTGAGACCCTGTCTCTAATAAAATACAAAAGGGAGCTAGGGATGTGGTTCAGTGGTTAAGCATCCCTGGGTTTCATTCCTAGTACCCCAAAAATTAAAAAATAAATTTGGAATGGAATGGAGGAGAGAGGTAGTAGATGACAGTAATAGTGGTATCAGGATTTTGTAGTGGGGGAGAATTTTAATGATAAGAAAAAGCTCTAGTGCAAGTTGGGCAGACTTTTAAGAAACCATATGGTCTTTTGCAGCCATTCAACTATGCTGTAAGCATCCATACAGTATGGAAGTGAACTTTTTCAAGCTGGTGTTGGGATTAATTTGTAGTTTGCCAACTCCTCTTRCTTTGTAGACAAAAGAGAAAGAATCTGGAATAAAGTAAAAACTTAAACATAAATAAAAGATCATATTTGGCTAATAGAATAGTATCTAGAAGAGGCAGTAGGGGATGGGGAAGCCATGGGCACAAGTGAATGGATTGGCTTTTAATAAGGTGTACTACCACTCAGCTTCAGTGACCAGAGAAGGGGAGAGGTACTAATGGTAGGTAGGAGTTGGCAAGTTATAATACATGTAAAATTAGTAAGAAATATGAAATTTGAGGTGGAAAAAAAATGAGATTTAGACTAGGTCTGCAAAAGCTTCCTTGTACACTACCTTTCCACACAGAAATCATTCCAGTATTTGTTGAATGTTTAGTGAGTATATAACCAAAAGTCTGTATTTCTCCAACTGGACTTYGCTGTACTTAATCGCTAGAATTTGGCAAAATCAATGAGTAGTGACTTTATCACACATCATAACAGTTCTTTTCTGAATCTATTTACAGATTATCTTTATATTTCTAAGCAAACAGGATGCCATCTAAAAGCCCCTCATTGGAGAGTGGGTAAATAAAATTAGTATGTTCATCCAATGGCATATTAAAGAGAAATTAAAAATAAATAGATTAAAGCAACACTAGGGGCTGAGGTTGTGGTTCAGCGGTACAGCACTCGCCTAGCACATGCAGGGCACTGGGTTCTATCCTCAGCACCATATAAAAATAAAAAATAAAGGTATTATGTCCAACTAAAACAATTAAAACAAAAAAAAATTTTTTTAAGTTACATTAATAGCAGTATGAACACAATCTCAAAGACATACTGAAGCCAGGCACAGTGGTGCATGCCTGTAATCCCAATGGTTTGGGACACTGAGGCAGGAGGATCACGAGTTCAAAGCCATACTCAGGAAAAGCGAGGCATTAAGCAACTCAGTGAGATCCTTTCTCTAAATAAAATTCAAAAATAGGGCTAGGGATGCAGCTTAGTGGTTGAGTGCCCGGAGTTCAATCCCTAGTACCCCCCATCAAAAAAAAACATACTGAACAATATGCAAATTACTGAAAGATACAGTAGTACCACTTATGTAAAATTTTTATGTGTGGATACACATAATTTATAGAAAAATTGTTTGGATGGGGCTGGGGTTGTAGCTCAGTGGTAGAGTGCTTGCCTAGCATGTGTGAAGTACTGGATTCAATCCTCAGCATCGCATAAAAATAAAAATAAATAAAATAACTTTATTATGTCCATCTACAACTTAAAAAAACAAATTGATTGGATGGACACACAAGAAGTTGCAATCATTGTTACCAAAGTGAGAACAGGATCAGCAAGAGTTGTAAAAGATTTTAAGATTTGTCATAATGTTATGCTATCAGGGATTGAACCCAGGCCATTATGCAAACTGGGAAAGTTCAGCCACTGAGCTACATCCTTACCCCTTTTAGATATAGATTTAAATAAAATTCATATAAATTTTTAAAGATATTTTGAAATTTTGAGACAGGGTCTTGCTAAGTTGCCTAGGCCAGCCTCAAACTTGTGATCCTCCTGCCTCAGCCTCCCAAATAGCTGGGATTACAGGTATATACCACCATGTCCAGCATCCTCTTTTTTTTTTTTTTTTTTTTTTTTGGTACCAGATAGAATTCAGGGACACTCAAATCACTTAACCACATCCCCATCCCTATTTTGTATTTTATTCAGAGACAGGGTCTCACTAAGTTACTTAGCACCTCACTGTTGCTCAGGCTGGCTTTGAACTCACAATCTTCTCGTCTCAGTCTRCCGAACCTCTGGGTTTATAGGCATGTGCTACCGCACCTGGCCCGGCATCTTTTTTCTTTTCTTTTGTTTTCTTTTTTTTWWAACATTTATTTTTTAGTTGTGTGTGGTTGGACACAATACTTAATTTATTTTTATGTGGTGCTAAGGATCGAATCCAGCACTTCACATGATTTACAACCCCAGCCTTTCTTCTTTTTACAGTCAAAAATTTGTAAAGTGGGGACTGGGGTTGTGACTTAGTGGTAGAGCGCTTGCCTAGCACATGCGAGGCACTGGGTTTGATCCTCAGCACCACATAAAAATAAATAAAATAAAGATATTGTGTCTAACTATAATTAAAAAAAGAAAAAAAATGTTTTTTTTTTTAATTTGTAAAGTCAACTCTGTTATATGGGTTAAAAGATGATATAGAGTTGATTTTGGCCTTCTCATTAACAAAACAAGCCTTTTGTCTTAGGGAACTTACATTTCATATTTGTAAGAAAGGGATCATAGATAGGGCTGGGACTGTAGCTCTATTGTAGAGCACTTGTCTTGCACTTGTGAAGCACTGGGTTTGATCCTCAGCACCACATAAAAATAAATATATTATGTCCATCTACAACTAAAAAATATTTTTAAAAGAAAGAAAGAAATTGATTATAATGGTCAAACAAACTGAAGACAGTTCTTGTGACCTGAATATCCTTCATAGTATGCRTAGATTCATGTGAGGGTTTTTTTGTTGTTAGGTTTTGTTTTTGCAGTACTGGGGATGAACCCAGGAAAGCATTGCCACTGAACTATATATACCTCCAGCCCTTAGGAAGAGTTATCCAGGCTGGCCTCAAACTTGGTATCCTCCTGCCTTAGGCTCCTGAGTTGCTGAGATCATAGGGGTGTGTGGTGACGTTTTAATCCTTTCAAGCTTATGAAATGCTTTCTGTATTATAACCTCTATAAGTTTCCTCACAACTGGCAATTAACTTGAACTAAAAATTGGTTAGTCATCTTTGTTACTTTGTTTTTCCATCTGTTAGTAAAAGGTATTTGGTGGTTTATGACATCACCAAAATCATCCTAGTGACTATGATGCTGAGCAGAAAAATTGCAGTTACTCAGATCATCTCTTGCTATAAGGATAATATAGAAACCTAGGTTGTCATCTGTGAGAATAAGCAAGAAACATTTTCCATGGAAAGTTCACCTCTGTGGTACATGTGAAAACTAATTTAGCAATTCTGATTCGATAGATATTTTGGCATGCAGAATGTTCTTTTCAATGACATTTTTTCCCAAATTTAATTTTTCTAATTAAGCCTTTTATTTTTGAGACATAGAATCACATGCATTCGTATAGAGTCATAACATTTTTTTAAAGTATTTTTAAAGAAAAACACAAAAGAATTCTGGGGCTGGGGCTCAGCGGTAGTGCACTTGCCTGGCATGTGTGAGGCACTGGGTTTGATTCTCAGCACCATGTGTAAATTAATAAATAAAGGTCTATAAACAAGTTTTTTAAAAAAATGTTTAAAAAATTAAAAAAAAAAAGAACAAATAATGATGCTGAGCAATCTTCTGTACCCTTTACYCAGTTTTCATCAGCAGTAACATCTTTATAAACACTGTAGTACAGCATTGTAACCAGGATATTGACATTAATACAGTMACGATACAGAACATTTTCTTCCACCACCACGTTAGGGTTCCTCATATTAACCTTATATATAGCCCCCCTCAAACAAAAAATGTTATATTAATGGAATTATATAGTATGTGGCCTTTTGGTATTGAATTTTGGATTTCTTGTTTGTCTGTTCATATTTTCCACCCAGCAGAATTCTCTGGAGATTCGTCCAGTTTGTTGTATGTATCAGCAATTTGTACCATTTTACTGCTGAGTGATAAGCCATGATCTGAACATATCTCGGTTAAATTAGCCATCCTCCTGTTGAAAAGCATTTTCAGGGTGTTATGGATAAAACTGCTAAACACACAGTTCAAGGGTTTTTGTGTGATTATAAGTTTTTATTTCTCTGGGATGAATAACCAGGAGTGTAATCACTGGTGTTTTGTAGATACATATTTACTATTATGTTMAGAAACTTTCCAACTGTTTTCTGTGATGGCTGTATCACTTTACATTCCCATGGACTGTGTTTGTGTGATCTTGTTTTTCTCTTTCTACCGATTTACTTTGTTCTTCATATAGTCTAGATCCTATTTTGTTGGAACTATTGTGTGGTTTTGCAAATAATGTGTGTGACTCTGCATTTTTACTCCAAAATTCTATTTGATTTACCCATCAAATAMGTTGTTGAAACATGAAAGTTGGGCTGGGATTGTGGCTCAGCGGTAGAGCGCTCACCTAGCATGGGCGGGACCCTAGTTCAATCCTCAGCACCACATAAAAATAAAGGCATTGTGTTGTGTCCATCTACACCAAATAAATAAAGAAAGCATAAAGGTTTATACAGTTCTCTAATTTTTTTGTAACAAGGAATGAAAGACATGGCAAAAAGAAAACAGGAGCATGAAATTCTGTGTACTTCATTACTTTTTTAAGTATGTAATTTCTTGGTCAGTTTTATCACTCATTACTAATTCTTATTTAGATTTGGGGGGATAAAGGCTGAACCTAATGAATGAAATTATTTCGTAATAATTTACTGTATAATGGAAATTTAACCTATTGGTTCACTTAATATTTTTGCTTTTAATATCAGGTTTCAGATGATGATAAAGAAAAGGGAGAGGGAGCTCTTCCAACTGGAAAATCTAAAAAGAAAAAAAAGAAAAAGAAGAAGCAAGGTGAAGATAACGCTCTTGCACAGGTAAATTACCAAAATAATATGTATTCTTTACACATCTGTTGTTGAAAATGTGAAAAGATGGTGTTTAGATACTAAAAAATAGGGCTGGGGATGTGGCTCAAGCAGTAGTGCGGTCRCCTGGCATGCGCATGGTGCTGGGTTCGATCCTCAGCACCACATAAAAATGAAATAAATATGTTATGTCCACCAAAAACTAAAAAATATATATATATTAAAAAATTCTCTCTCTCAAAAAAAGAATGATGCTAAAAATAGATAGAAATAAATGACAAAATATCAGATAGTTACTTGAAAAGCATTTGAAAAATCAGACTTTAAAGAATGGATACCTTATATTGTAATAAAAATTTTATTGCCCTAAAAACTCATTACAAGGGTCACTAAACCTAAAAATAAAAATTCCAGATTACTCAAATGCATTTTTTATAATAAAATGATAAAATGGAAAAGGAAGTACATTATTCTATACACACAAAAATTGACTTTGAGCTGGATTTTTGAACCCTTATAATCCCAGCAGCTTGGGAGGTTGAGACAGGAAGATTTTGAGTTCAAAGCCAGCCTCAGCAACTTAATGAGGCCATAAACATCTTAACAMGAACACCATGTCTCATAATAAAAAGGACTGGGGACTAGCTCAGTGATTAACATCCTGGCTGGTTAAATCCACATTATCCAAAAAAAAAAAAAAATTGCCTTTGAGTAACTGGAAGGTTAATATTTACCACAATTAGAAAATCCATGTGCATAACAAATGGAATCTTCTACTTCACTGAGTTTCCTGGTTATTTCATTGGTTTCTGATCTTTAGAAAGTTTTTTGGTTTTTTGTTGTTGTTGTTTTGCATCAGTCCTACATTTCTTTTCTCCTATCTGGGAAAAAAAATTAGATTACAATAAAGATGAAATCAAAGATGTTATTTCAGCTGAGCATGATAGCCCACACTTGAAATCCCAGCCTACTTGGAAAGCTAAGGCAAGAGGATCTCAAGTTCAGGGCCAGACTAGGCAATTTATGGATAYCCTTTCTCAAAATAAAGTAAAAAATAAAAAGGGCTAATGATGTAGCTCAGTGGTAGGGCATTCCTAGGTTTAATCCCCAGTACCCAAAAAATTGTTTTAAAGTTATTTTAATTTCAAACATATCAGATTGTTAGAAGTATACATGGATTTATTTTTGAAAGCATTATTTCATTATATCACAACTTGTGGTTTTATTTTTATTTCTTTAGTTTTTTTATGTGGTGCTGGGGATCAAACCCAGTGCTTCACATGTGCTAGGCAAGTGCCCTTCACCACTGAGCCAAATCCCGCCCAAGAGTGTTTTGTTTTTTATTTTCCAATTGTAAAAATGAATAGGCATTAAGGTTAACAGGGGTAAGACCAATGGCTATGAAAAATTAAAACTACATAGTAGGTGTGGTTTCTTCTTAGCCAGAATTATGTGATAAATATTTATTGACATATTCTTTGTTAGTAATACCATGTGAAATCTATTTTAGCTAGGTTTTTTTCTAAGTTTTCTGTTTCTTTCTTCTTTTTTTTTTTTTTTTTTT